TAAGGTGAAAATGTCAAAAAATGAAATGTAGGGGCATTGTGTGGTAACGAACTTTTTATTAATTTATTTGGGACTCGTTTGCATTTTTTTTAAAAAAAATTGGGACCATAATTGCAATTAGTTATTTCTTTTAGTTTTATTTAAATATTTTATATTCTTTGGTTCTCAACTTTTAATATATAAAATTAATGAAAAGAACTTTTTGGGCAATGAAAGGTGAAAATAATGGTGAAAATGTCAAAAAACGAAAGGCAATGATATTATGTGCTAATTACCCAAAAAAATTAAATTAATAACCTACTTCTTCATCCCTTTTCACTTAAAAAGAACCTAATCAAACCTTGAAGTTAACAAATAAACTGTATTCCTTCCTCTCCATGCGAGTAAATCAAAATTAAATAGAGAAATTTCCAACTTATATAAAGACAGTTTTTAAGGGAAAAAAATATTAGTCATGATGTTGACTAAATCGACCTTTGCCCGCAAAGACGATTTTTATCTAGTCACACAAAAAAATAACCAACATATTGTAGACTTTGTTGGAAAATTTACACCGATAATTGTGCATATTATATTCACTAAAAGCATACCATTTATTTGCATGAAATTGAAACATAATTTCGACTTACTGGAATGGATAATTTACCGATTCTGAACGTATGAATCTGGATTCATTTTCTTTTCATCCTTGAGCGAAAACACATCATTCTTTGGATCGAACCTTGCAATATAAATATATAAATCAGATTAATCATTTTTTCTGAAATCAAATCATAATAAAAAGAAATCAGAAAATGAAGTGAGAAGATGCAAGTGATGGATTTTGGCCGAGGCAAGTGTTGGACACTTAGTCGGCAAGTGTTGGACACTTAGTGCTTAAGATGGATTTGACAAGTATCAGTGCTAACGGTTTTCGGACAATCATCTCTCAAAATACAACGACCACGTCAAGCCATAGGAGCACTCCAATTGGCTTCGACCAACGAACTCGAACGGAGTTCCCTCTCTACTATGACCATGATTTTGACGCAAAATGAAATTATTTCTATAAAGTGTTTTATGCAACATGACATGAAAGAATAATTTATATGATGATCAAAATAAATATCCAAATGGTCCTATATACAGGAGTTGAAGGGTGGTTGGTGAAGGAACACACCCCAAATTTTAATTTCCTTCAAATATGATCGAATTTATCATTTATATGCAAATTGGTCCTCAACCAATTTCCAACAATCCCCCACATGAATGGAAATTCCACATATGCAAATGATAATGCAGACACTAGGAGATAGAGAGAGAGCGGAAAACACTGCATCAGGTAAGGTAGCTTCTGACTTTGAACCTTTCTTAGTGAAATATCATCGGATTTACTAGCTAATTGGTGAACGCGATGTTCTTGAATCATAAGCCGTTGGTGTAAACCAAGAGAACAATACTCACACAATGTCTCCCATAAACCATTCATGGTTCTCATAACTTGGTTCATTTTGGCCCTGAACCCATCTTGGTTCTGTAAGTGTTTAGAGAATTCAAGCCTTAAATAATTCTTATTGAAGCGGACCACTTCACACTTACGTAGGTGATCTCCTATTAAGAGCATTCTGCCCTACTCCACTCGACTTAATCAAGATATAAGAATCATTGAAAGTTTATTTTAACCTCCAACCACTCTGCAGAAAGCACTTTGATATATCATAGGAATGAGTTAGAAATTAGTTTCCTAAGTGCTTTATGGAATCCTCATAACTTAGTTTTCCCTTTGAACCAAGATCTTGGGATCTTCAGTCAACATGGTAGGGTTACTATCGTAAGGACTTTTACTCAATAGGCTTAATCTCATTCCCTTCGAGATGTAATATACTTGATCTCTTGGTAAACATATATAAATGGATCCACAAGTTTACACAAATGAGATCAAATGCTTATAATATTATGTCTACGACGTACATGTCTAGACTTACTATTACATGTGACTTAGTATCTTTTCAAATTTAGCTAGCCAATGATCGATTCATTTAATAGATACAGATTGTCATCAATTAAGAAATCCTCTAATGAAGCTACATGCTTCTCATTAGCTTTACCTAAAGCTTTATCAATTCCAAATATGATTGGATGGTTTCTATCAAACCATTACACCAGTCTATCATATTTACTAGTGGATTTCATACATGGGTATTCAATATCATCGTTAAAGCATTGCAATGCATTTGAACTTTATTTGAATTTTATGAATATTCTCTAATATTCCAATTATTCTTGTATATCAAATAACCGTCATGATCGGCTTTCATTCCATTTCATCCACTTTAGGGCTTTCATCCATTTTCATCCATAGACTTAGTGTATACCATCGCATCACAATATCCTTCTAATACCGCAGGATATCTTGTGAAATATAATTCATAGCTCATGGTATATTTTAAATACCTAAGGACCCCTGTCAATGCCACCCAATCATCATGGCCTGGATTACTTGTGAATCTACTAAATTTATTCACAGCAAAAACATTATCCAATCGAGTACAGTTTTTAATATACATTATAATGCCAATTACTTGTGAATATCTCAGGTGTGACACGCTTTCACCCTTATTTTGACCAAGTGTAGACTTGTGTTAATAGGATTTTAGCCGAACTTTCCTCTAATATTTCAATTTTTTTTTTATTTTCTCAACATAATGAGACTGTAAAAGTACAATTTCTTCTAATGTTTTAGGGATTTTTATCTCTAGTATTACATTTGCCACACCTATGTTTTTCATGTCGTAATGCTTCGTAAGCATTTTTTTTTTTACGTTTAGCACCATTTCGTGACTATTGCCCATCATCAACATATTGTCTACATATAGACACACAATAGGCATCTGATGTATTTTTCACGTATACACTCTTGTCACATTCATTTATTTTGAACTCGTTTGGCAACATTATTTTGTCAAACATTTTAGTGACCTTGCTTAGGAGCTTGTTTCAATCCGTATAAAGACTCAACAAGTTTGCAAACTTTTTGACTTTCACTTGGAGACACCTTCAGTTTGCTCCATGTATATCTCTTCTTCTAACTCACCATTTAAGAATCTCGTTTTCACATCCATTTGGTGAATCTCAAGGTTATATATTGCTATAGTTGCAATTAGTAACCTTATCGAAGTTATTCTAGTCAAGGGTGCGTAGCTAAAGAAGTCAAAATCTTTCTTTCAGTCTATATCCTTTGGCAACCATCTAGCCTTATATTTATCAAAGGATCCATCAGGTTTTAATCCATTTTCACCCTAAAGGCTTATTTTCGGGAGGTATATCTACCAATTCCCATGCATAAATTTTCATCATGAAATGTATCTCACTATTAATAGCTTGCTTCTTCAGAAGTCTTTGGGTTATTTTCTACCATACATGTTAGAAAATGCGGACCAAATGAAGTGGAAGTTCTAGCCCTTTTACTACGCCTTGGTTCTTCCTCATTTGAAGACCCATTTGCAGTTTCATATGTTCTTTTATTCAAGCTTTCATTTTCCTTGTCTTGCAAGAAAACACATTCTCAAAGAATATCGAATTCCTTGACTCAATTAAGGTACCCTCATGTACATCCAATTTGTGTACAAGGAGACGATATACACTACTATTATTTGCGTATAAAATTTATTTGTAATCAGTCGTTTTGGGACCAATCTTTATTTGTTTAGGCTTAGGAACCTCAACCTTTGTCAAAAACCCCCACACTTGTAAGTGTTGGTAGGAAGAAAAATAACATTTCCATAACTCATACGAAGTCTTTTCCATTTTCTTGAGAGGTACAGGAGGTTGCCCCCACAATTCCTAAATTAGAAATATATGTACAAATAGTAGTATTGTATCCACACGTCTTGAACTTTTCACATAAGTTCTCAAGCATTTCCACATTTTTGGATTATTCTTGAACTTAGAGTTTATCAACTCTTTCATAGTTCAATCCATTTATCACTTAGATAATATTCGAATCGAGTGTTTCGTGGAAGTCTAAGTACTTTCAAAATGGTGATCGTCGATTCACACAAATGAAAATTCATTTTCCATTCGAAATTGTGCTTCAATCAATGTTATCATATAGACCAACGATGCTTTCAAAGCATATACCAATTTAATTGGTTCCATAATTGAAGTCAAATTCAACAATAAAGAAGACTAAGCATCTTCAACTTACAAAAGGACACACCTCTTGGAATTAATCCTAGAATATTTCATAATATTCTTCACAATTTTTGCATAACATAGTTTTTGTCCTTTACAAATGAATGTCATTTTAAAATCATTATTTTTAAGGATATCCGGCACCACCGCCAACTGTAGACACTATTTGTGCTCTATAAAATATTTTCACATCCCAATAATTGGGCAAGCAATTTCCACTTTAAAATAATTAGGACAAAATCACATTATGTTACACTCTTATGAGACTATAATTTTATATAAGTCATCTCATTTAATTTTATAGAATTAATTGAGGCTATCATCATTAATCAAAGTTAGTATAATTTTCAAACCAAAATCCATGGACATATACCGAATTTACAACTTCATACAGTAGAGGTCACTTATCGGATTGACGCATACCGTATATACAACTTACCGTATATGTGACATATCGTATTTGCATTTTACCATATTTGCAGCCTACCGTATTTGCTGCTTACTGCTTACCGTATTTGCTGCTTACTGTATATGCATACACCGGATTTGCATATACTGACCAAAAGTCTATCCGAAACCCAAACTCTTGTATAAATTCACCAAATGACATTATAATGTTACTTTTCATATCCACTTTTGTATTTTATTCCAATGAAAAATTAATCAAAAGCCACCACAAACTGTTTTTCATTGCATTTAAAATGAAAAGTTACACGTATTCCATAATTTCAATATTAATGGTCAGAATTTAACCTCCAACATGAATTACATTAAACATATATTTATAAATCTTTATATCACATGCAATAATTTGGAGACCCTACCACTTCCAAATTAATTCATAATACGTGTATAATTTCATGACAGTTACAACATTATTAAATTCACAATTAATATTCTTGGACATAACCCAGTCTGAACATGTTTTCTCAATCAAGCAATTTTCACTAAAAAGGCATAATCATGAAGGTTCATGTTGGCATCCTTACATGACCAACGATTAGAGCATTTTTCTCCTTCTATCCATTCGTTGTTTGGCTTGAACTAGTCTCAACGCCCAGAAATTTATCACATTCAAAGTGAAGAAGGAATAACAACGAACATAGGAATGTCAATGTTCTGTGCCATAGCCATATTGGCAATCAACAAGAATTGCCATTACCACAATTAATTAAACAATGGCTGACACCGGTATCATGTAATTCCACACCAATTTGGAGATGAAAGATAGTCACCTATTTTGAGACTTGTTTCCATGTGCAAATGCATATGCGGCATGTTTTCATACCATTTTAATGAAATCGACATAACTCTCTATTCAATGGCATCCATGCTGTCAACCATATTCACAATACCAAACATAATTTCATAAATCAGAATGGTCAATGAAAGAAAATATGACATTCCAATAATATTATGTAGTGAACTGAATAAAATTCCAGGAATTTAATGACTTTTGCATTAAAACCATTAATACCAGCAAACGAAATTGGCAAATGAAACTGCCAACTATGGACGAATTCAATGGCAGTTGGTAAGAAGGATTTTATCCATTAGCCACTATTTTTTACTTCATCTACCAACAAATTAATATAAATATGCCTCTTTTCTTTTTTTCCTTTGTATAAACATCAGTAGGCTATTAAATTGAGACAGTTACATCGTATTAAACTCACAATTTTTCATCTTAATTTAATCAGTACGATTATACTTCCATTCAAACGTTACAATTTCGCACTGTCATTGCATGATTCACACGTTTATTGTAGAATATGCACAAGATTAATTACCAATTTCATCCTGTAAAGTGCCACTAGTTTCCAATAATATAAAATGCACTATATGGGGCAAATTTATCTTAAGATTGTTGGAAAATGTTCACCGATTATTGTGCATATTATATTCACTAAAAGCATACCATTTATTTGCGTGAAATCGAAACATAATTTCGACTTACCGGAATGGATAATTTACCGATTCTGAATGTATGAATCTGGATTCATTTTCTTTCCATCCTTGAGTGAAAACACATCATTCTTTGGATCGAACCTTGCAATATAAATATATAAATCAGATTAATAATAAAAAGAAATCAGAAAATAAAGTGAGAAGATGCAAGTGATGGATTTTGGCCGAGGCAAGTCTTGAACACTTTGTCCTTAAAATGAATTTGCCAAGCATCGGCACTAACGATTTTCGGGCAATCATCTCCCAAGATACAATGATCATGTCAAGCCATAGGAGCACTTCAAATGACTTCGACCAATGAACTCGAACGGAGTTCCTTCTCTACTATGACCATGATTTTGATGCAAAATGAAATCACTTCTATGAAGTGTTTTATGCAACATGACATGAAAAAATAATTTATATGATGATCAAAATAAAGATCCAAATGGTCCTAAATATAGAAGTTGAAGGGTGGTAGGTGAAGGAACACGCCCCAAATTTTAATTTCCTTCAAATAGGATCGAATTTCTCATTCATATGCAAATTGGTCCTCAACCAATTTCCAACAGACTTTTCTTATTGTTTGAGGGATAACCCTATTTTTCTATAAATAAGACAATATGAAACACAAACATCGTTATTGAAGAATGTATATAAGTATTTTTAAACCGTTCAAATTATAAAAAAATAAAAATGAGTGGTGGATGAGTGAGTAATACTTATAAGACTCATTTGGTAGGACTTCTGTTTTTGTTTTAATTTCTTATTACAGAGTTTTTTTTAAGAAAATTACCTTAATAGATACTTAAAAGCTAATTTCTAAAATATTTCTCATTCGAAAAAGTTTTAGAGGAAGCCACATTGGACATGTTTATCTAAAATATCTTGTAATTAGAAGAAATATATTTATAAAATTAATCATTTTCAAAAGCAACTTTTGAGTCTTAAAAAGTCATTTTAACTTTTTAAAAGTTATGTCAAATGAACTCATATATCTCAAGAAATGTACGAACAAAAATGAATTAAGCGATTATAAATCATTTATAAACGTTAGGCAAGCTAGGCTTGTTGAATTATTTGTCCAAAACATTAACTTTTATTATATGCGTAAATCATAATGCACCTCACATGACCAGACAACATTGGATATAATTAGTAACTAATATAATTTTCTGCAGCCACTGTAGTGTACATGCATTGAATCCCCTCTAAATAATGACTAAATTTGTATAATGGATTCATGTGAAAACATTACAAATGGTCTGTCCACAGTACCTTTCCCATTGTATGTTGCCAAGTGTAATAATTTTGTTTGTTCTTCATCAGATATTTACGGCTGATACCTTATTTATTTTATTTTTTTGAGCAAATTGTCTAGAAGTCTAACATTATTTCAAACGATTTATTTAATTGTGTGCTCTTTACGAGGTAAATTAGCACGATTGTCTAATCTTAAGTCGAAGCTGATTTAATTTGATTCATCATTGACTTAACTTGAACTAGGGATCAGTTGACTTAATTCATATGATTTAATTCCATTTGGAGTTGCTTTTAATAAAGCCCGTTTTAGTGTTGATCCATTCAATCGACCAATACTTTTGGAGAAGTGAAAATATACCCACTTTTTAACATTCTTAATATTTACTCTATTTTAAATAACAGTTAATGATATTTACCCATAATCCCCTAGTTTTTTACGAAACCTAGGAAAGATAATTAGATATTCAAGTTTCGAGGAAACTACTAGGAGTCACACTAACATCTGCTTTTGAAATGACTAAAGTCCTTCAACTTTCCATGATTGACTTGCTTTCTTTAACCACATCTCCATTGCGCTATCAATTTGTCAATTCTATTCTTCTAGCATTGTTATTCGATTCATAGTTCCTTAAATTTTTAGAACTACAGTTTCTACTTTGTTTTTTCTTCTTATTTCTAGTGGTGCTTGCTATCGGGCAATTTTTCGGGTCAAAAAGGAGGAGATCTTGGTGGTAGAAGGTGACGATCACTGTTAGATCAAGATCAAAGCGTGGCGATGGTGGTGGTTGTGGTAGTACGATGATGATGTTCGTGCAATGATTTGGTTAGTTGTTGAATGCAGTGATTGTATGAGATAGTGATGATGGTAGATGTTGATGTCAATGCAATGGTTTGGTCAGTTATCGAATGCAGTGGTTGTATGAGATGGTGATCGTTGTTGACGAGTGGTCATGTTCGTGAATGTAACATGGTCGAGTGACTGGTAACACATATTATCCATGTTCAATTTTGGTAACATAATATGTTACTGTGTTACCCATGTTCTATTTTAACCGTTTGGCCTCTATTAATTTTTATTCCATTACATTTCATTTTTCTCTCTCTCTTACTTTCAACCACAAAATTTTTCATAAAATAATATTACGTGTAAATCGAAATTTTTTCTTTCTTTTTTAACCACTCATTTAAAAAAAAAAAAAACTATTCCACCCATTTTCATTTCCATAGAAAATGGGGGCCAAACGATGGTTAATTACATTAGGTAGCGAATGATGAATAATTTATGGTGGTGAAAGTGGTATTTGAGTTGGTATGCTGATTGAGTGATTGGCAATTACCTTAACATGAGCTCAAGACATTAAAAAAAAAAAAGTTGCACATAACATTCTTACATTTCACTATTATTGTAGAAAACGACATTACCTTTCACTTTTTGGCGCAAAAGGTCATTTTCATCAATTTTCTAAATTATAAGCTGTGAAATGAAGAATATACACTTCTATTTAAATAAAACAAAAAAAAAGGAAAAAAAGAAGAAGAACCAATTGCAAGTATAGTCCCAATTTTTATAAAAAGTCCAAACTAGTCCAAATAAATTATTAAAAGGGTAATTAGCATACATAATGTCCTTACCTTTCACTATTAAAAAGGTCTCTACCTTTCAATTATTATTATTATTTTACTACGCTCAGTTACACCTTTAATCAGGCGAATCATCATTTTCTATCCATTTTCATCAAAATTTTCAATAAAAGCTGTGAAATGACGAATATATATTTTTATTTAAATAAAAAAGAAATTATTTTTTTGATGTCTAATTTTTTATAATATATTTGGAACTTTTTTTTACTTTTCAGTTTTTTTTACTTTTTAATTTTTTTAATAATTTATTTGGGACTAATTTGCACTTTTTAAAAAAATCAGGATTGTGGTTGCAATTATTTCTTTATTTTATTTTTTTATTTAAAGGATGGTATATTTGTCATTTCCCAATTTTTTTTTTTAATTGAGAAATTGGATGAAAATTGATAGAAATGATGGTTTGTGCAATCAAATGTATAATTAAGGGTGAAAATGTCAAAAAATGAAAGGTATAGACGTTTTCAGAATAATAATGAAATGTAGGGGCATTGTGTGCTAATTACCTTTTTACTAATTTATTTGGGACTCGTTTGCATTTAAAAAATAAAAAATAAATTGGGACCATGATTGCAATTAGTTATTTCTTTTTTCTTTTTGTTTTATTTAAATATTTTATATTTTTCGTTTCACAACTTTTAATTGATAAACTTTTTGCGTAATGAAAGTTGAAAATAAGGATGAAAATATCAAAAAATGAAAGGCAATGATGTTATGTGCTAATTACCCCAAAAAATTAAATTAATAACCTACTTTTTCGTCCTTTTTCACTTAAAAAGAACCTAATCAAACCTTGAAGTTAACAAATAAACTGTAATCCTTCCTCTCCATGCGAGTAAATCAAAATTAAATAAAGAAATTTCCAGCTTATATAAAGACAGTTTCCAAGGGAAAAAAAATATTAAGAAAAAAGCGTTATATCAATAAATCAAGATTCATGATGATCTTGGACTTGGACCAAAGAACAAATGATCTTCGTCAAGACTTTCTAATTTCTAGGATGCTTCATAGTGGTCAAAATGCTTTTTCACCAAGATAAGCTTTCTAGGATGTTTCATAATGGTCAAAATGCTCTTTCACCAAGTTAAGCATAATGGTCAAAATGCTTTTTCACCAAGTTAAGCTTAATCCCCAAGAAATCAATGCTTATATAAGTCATAACGCGTGTTAAATTCCTCAGTATACATTTAGCATTTTCATTTTGTTAATCCAAAAGGATTAATCCCATTTTAAATGTGCTAAGGTTGCAGCTTACTAGAGCTTGTTAAGATGAGTAAACACAAGGGAAATAATTGGTACTCTAAAATCTTGAAATCTTTGGCTTCGTTCTTGTGCAAATCCAGTAAAGGCGAAAATGTAAAAGGTTCGAAAGCTAAAGGCCCAGAGGAAGCCATGGTTTCTGCAGCAAAGCATTTCTCTAGTGCACATAAAGTGCGGTTAGATTGATATATATATATATATAGAGAGAGAGAGAGAGAGATTTGAATGATTTCTCATGTCCCATTTGACATGGCTTTTGAAAAGCCACAATGAACTTTTGTAATCCGTTTGGTTCATTTTAGCTTCTCAAAAGTCATGCCAAACGACCCTATAATTTTTTTCAACAGTCTTCTACAGAAAGCAAAAACAAAAGTCGTGTCAAAAGAGCTCTCAATAAAGCTAGAGAAAGTTGTATTTAGCAAAATACTAAGATTTGTCTATGGGTGTAAAGTAGTTTTATAGGTCGGCACGGCCCATAAGCCCATCCAATGCTGGGTCGCACCATGCCTCCGTCTTTGGGCTTTGGCCATAGCGTGGCATAGATGGGTGTGTTGGGCCATGCCAAACAAACTCCACTTCTCTTACAATCTCAAGGAAAAATATGGAGCATATTGATTCATAGTTCTCAGCAAATACATGTTACACAAATTTTGTGACATTTCTACTGTTTCACATAATACTGTGATATGAGATAATTTTATGCTAAATTTTTTAAAGAAAAGGATATATCTTCAAGGCTTTCCCCTGTCACCTAAAAAGAAGCTAATCTACAGTAACATGCAGCTAACCAATGAATTCCGATCAGCCTGCACTAACATGAGAGAAGATTTGTTCAGCCAATTCAAACCTTTCGCGTAGTTCTCTACTCCTCTTTGATTGTCTTTTTCTCGATGTTACACTTGCACAAATAGAATAGATAACCAGTTCTTTGATCCGATCAACAAATCTTACTTCTGAGAAATAAAGTAAATGAAAATTGTTCGACAACCAGGTATTGGACCTGCCACCTGAAAAAACATTGACATAGTCATTCAATATTAAAAGATTGTGCTATGAACTTGAACATTACATGATATAGTTGCAGAAAGTTAATTGAGAAATCGGAATCGACACATGAAAAAAAAAATAATAAGAATAAAAAATAAAAAACAAAACAATACTAAAACACTAGGTCATGCTTAGTTGGCAAAATTTGAAAAATAAAAAGCATTCTTAACTTACAGTTTGGATTCAAAAAACCTTACCGTTAGTCTATGCACGAAGCATTCAGATGGAAGATTCAACACGCATCACGTAATTTGGTAAAAAACTATTGAAGTTCCTTTCTGCCAGTTTCTTCTCTATTTTCATTATTTTTGCATAATTTTCATCAGAAAAGCATACTCGTAAGCTGTCTCCAAACATTGAGCAAAACGGCCGCCTTCACGAAAATGTCCCCCACTCATATTGGTCTGCAGGATGACTGAAGAAGAACAACTTGAACATGCAGTGTCTCGTATCTTGGCCACCCATTTGGCGGCTTCCCAAACACCCACTCTGAGGACGAGAAAAGATTAATACTATACATACTTACATGTGTAATATACCAGCAGTGCAATATAATACATCGTACCACACATGCAATAAAATCAAGAAACAGGCTTTCCAATGTAAATAAGTTTGCTATGCATATTAGAATTACCGGGAGTCATTAAATGAGGCTGACACAAGCATTGAAGGACAGCACTCGCCTTGAGGAATATTATCATAAGGAGAATACTTAAGAATATACTCGAAGTAGGACTGTATGTGAGGATTCCCGAATTCTTCATAGTCCAAAGTAGTGAGAGGTAAGCAAGGATCCAGAAGTGTGTTGATTATATCGAGAAATGGAACCTAACAGAGATAATGAACAAGTCATTTTCAAAACAATTTTCGTTTGAAATTTAAGAACAGAGAGAGAGAGAGAGAGAGAGAGAGAGAGGTAGTATTGAATAAATAAGCATTTGGCTTCCCCTACTGCTCAATTTTCTAATTATAATTAGTATCTCTGCTTACCTTCAAAATAGCAGCACGAAACAATCCAGGATGCATATTGATGGATGCCCCCACAAGAAGGCATCCTGCACTAATGCCCACAGCACCAAGCTTACCTTTATGGACCAAACCCTGATCGATCAGATACTTACCACATGAAACAAAATCATATATCGAGTTTAACTTGTTGAATCCACAGCCAGATTTATGCCAAGACGGATCCGAACCACCACCACCCCTGGCCCCACAAAATGTGCCATGTCAACCATTACAAAAATACCATAAATAATATGAAGTTCCTCCTCCAAAAGCAATCAATATAATTTACAGACTCAGTAGTAAAGATTACTAAACGCTACCGTAAGTAGAGGGTAATAAAGGAGCAAATTACACAGCATGTAGTAAACATTCCCAAAAAAGACATTATGTGTGTACCTTTTACTTCTTGTTTTTAATTCCGTATTGCATAGTCGAGCAATACATTAGTGTCTCCACTTGCAATAATAAAAGCCTTGTATACCTACTTTTGCATCGAGTACATAACTAAACTTACCATAGAACCCCTAAAATTAACTTATAAAAAAGGCATATGATATAGCTTAAATCCCCTTTACCTGAATATTTGATTGCAGCTTATTCCACAGACAGCACTTTCTAGAAATATATAAATAGTTCTAAACATGGTATCCTATTCATTTTTTATGATCGTGCGTTTGTGACTCCCTGTAGGATAGGGAAACACTACACATAAATAGAGCATATTTTCATTTTTAAACACTTTGAATGATGCAGCCATATAGAAGTACATAAATGATTAAATTGATAACATGTTCCCCATATTTTACTGCTTTTGAATCATTTGAAAAAATAAAAACTAGAAGATATGGACTTCACTGTACCTCACATCTGCAAATGCCAACAGCCAACCTCGATCAAGCAAGCTCAGACGATCTGGACACCAACTTTTTTCCAGAACTTCACCATATGCACCATATCCATGCAGAAGCCCAGGAGACTGCCCTTTCTGATATGCACTCCGAGAGAACAAGATAGTTAGGGGGATTCTGACACCATCATGGGAAAAATATTCCTTTTCTTCACATGAATATTTTTCAGACAAGTCTCTCCATCCACGAATTTTATTATCCTGAGCATCTCCATCATTCCCATTTGAAGAGTCTACAGACTTATCACTGCCATGGTTATAATTTAGTGAAGAGTACTCAGTGCTACGAGTTGAAATATTGGTAACCTCTTCTTGCTGAACAATGGAGAATACCTTCCTCGACATGTCATAGTCAACGATTAAATCAGGCATCTGCATTTTTGAAATGGGAACTAATCGGATTCTTCAGCCTAATTTGGCATTTTCAACAGCGATTTTGAATAGAATTTTCCCAATTCGGGCAAGTGTTAATGCTATATTTATATATCATATGTAAAACCTCATCAGGCTTCTTAGTAATTCATAACATAAATAGCATCTGTAATTTCTTAGAGACATCCAAATTCATTATGAATTATGAAAGGCCAATGCTGTATAAGATACATACGATTGAACAAATACTGGAAATGCCTTGCATATAATTTTCATTCCTTAATCAAACAATTTTGTCCTTTCAAAAATGGTTCGTAGCTTCTTCTACAATTCCTATATCAATAAGATTTGACAAGCTATCAATGAGCAGACCAATAAGGGGACAACATCGAAAACTTTCTTATCTGATAACAGATTTGAAGCATTTGACTGCTAGCAAATTCACTGAACCTAAATCATTGAGGGATCATGTTAGCAGCCCATCCCACAAGGAGAGGATGATGTGGGCCTCCTTTTCTCTGCAATTTTTTGTGTCTTATATAAATAAATAAATAAAAACTTCTGGGCCGGCGTCATATTTTTATGGACAGGATCTGGCCTGGCCTGCTTTACATCTCCAATTGAGTTCATAAAGCAGCATTAAATAATAAATATGATACATAGGCAAAATGAAGAGGTGCTTAAATTTCAGTGAGCAACTAGAAAATGAAGCCCAATAGCTAGCAACTCTTTTTTAGCATAAATTAGCTACCAACTGCCATTGATAAAATAACATGCTTAAGGGATCAAATCTCAAGACTGAAATGAAATGAAACTATACCACGGGTGAAGAAAGTATAACACGGTACACTGAATTCATGAATTCATGACTTGAACCTGGAGCAATTGTACACATTTTCGAGGGCAAAGGGAAGAACCATGGACTGAGATCATTGATCTCCAATAGTTTCTGCAACAAAACTCAAGTTTATATTGGAATAGGTCAGTGATTATGATGATTATAATTCAACTGCAATAATAATAGCCAAAATGGTAATCGTGATAGATAGTTAAAGTGATTTCCAATATTTATGGTGGTAATGATGATAATGATGGTATCAGTAGCAGTAATCTCCATATATAGAAATTTCTGCAAGCTATATTACAGAAAATAACTATTAATATTACAGAAAATAACTATTAATACATCATGGACTTGAATCAGGCACAAGATTTTAACCTAAACCACACCACCTACAAGAAGGCTAACACAACCTAAATGCATGACCAATTTTAAACCTACTAAATATAAAATTTTGAAATAAAATACATATAACAGAAACTGAAACATGACATTAAGGATAGATAATGTCATATTGACAAAATGATTCAAGCAGCTCATCTCTCTTCCGTGCACTCAGTTACCCCTGCATGGATGGATTGCAAAAAAATTGACCTAGGTGCATCATTGTGTCATTAAATTAAAATCATTATACATACTACTTTATCTTCTATCTTGTTCAAATTGAAACCCATAATGTCATTGTATGCTTTATGATATGTGCTGAGCATGAGGTCACACGTAACATCACATTAAATATGTTTCCTTGTAGATGGGATGAAGTAAATAACTGTATTTAAGAGAGATGCATATATTGGAATCAAAGAAAAGTCAATACCTTGCAATTGGTATCAATAGGCAGGTCAATGGAACATATCGAAGGGGAACCATCTTTGTTAAGAAAAAGCACTAAATGCCCATTAAAAATGTCCATATCTTCCACATATATATCATCACCAGGCATGATTATGTTCTAACAAAAAAGTAACGGTGGTTAGTAGCAATGATCTGAAGAAAAATATAGAGATTATAAAAGAAAAAAAAAATGCTTAGATAAACTATTCATATTTACAATCAACTTTAGATGTAAAATCTTAACATGTCATCAAGCCTCTTGACTGGGTAATCTCCTATGCTACCAGAGAAAAACCGAAACAGAGAACATTGAAGTAAACTGTTTAGATTGCATGCAGGATTATTTACAAAGCATTCAAATAGTCTGATCTATAAGAAAGACTTAAAGGAGGTGCGTAAGCATTACACCGCAATTTATTCCCTTTCCCTGTTGATAAGCCAGCCTCAAGAATCCCAATGTTTCCAACAGAGATATAGTGTCGAGAATATGCTCTAATGGACTACCTTACAATTTTCTACTATCTTACTCAATGGTTTTAGCTTGGAAGCATAATTTCCAACAAACTCCTATATAGACTGCAGTAATATTTTTTAACTACTTCCACATTAGACCATAAAAACTCTGATGTAAACTTCAATGAAACAAAATCAAATAGATTAGCAAAGGAAGGAAGTAACAATTGGTTGAACAAAAATTAATAACAGGGAGTCCAAAGATTAATCTTTCCATTTTATTCAAATACGTCAAATCCCGTAAATGGTACATACTCATCAGAAAAATTCTCTCTGTAGTGTATGAAAACTTGGTCAGGTCATTCCATAACATGTTATACTTACTGATAGCAAATTTTTAGAACTTTTTGCATCAAAATCTACTCTTGCTTTGTTGATTGAGAGGGGAATTCAATTAAATATTAACCATAAAAGAGATTAACCCTGACCTGAAGGTTAATGGATTATTTTTAAGAATTGTACTTTCAAACATAAAATAACTTAGACTAACAACATAGTGCATTTCTAATAAATTTTAATCCTCAGTTTACCATGTCAAAGCCCCAAACTTGTATTCTATATTGTTAATTTGTTTTCCAAAAAACGAAAAAGAAAAATAAAAAAATCAACGATCATCAATCAAAATTCCTTACAGAGAAACCTTCAAAGTGTGGCAGTAACTAAGCCTTCCATACTTTAAACACTAAGCATTTCAAGATAAAGAAATCTACTCCTTGTAATTACATTTAAAGAGAGAGATCAAATAGGTATTGCTCCAAGTAGGTGTACAGGGTCATAGATAATATCAAAACATATAAACAATACTTTCTTGATTCTAAATACACATTCAAGCACAAAATTACCTGAAAATTAGCTGACTGAACATCTTCAACTCGACATCTGGCTAAGTAATAACCATTACCAGAAAACTTCTTATCGTCCCTCATAGGAGCATTTGTAAGGATGTAAAAAAAGCCATAGTGATGTTCCAGGAAATATTGCACTCCAGAGAAACGTCTACAAAATCTTTGTAACCCGGTTTCTGGATCCATTGAATTTATAAAGTAAACCTGTAATGTGGCCACAACAGGTGTTAAACTAACTAGCGCCAGATACTTTCACGTTAATACCATAAAGGATGAAAATTGAAGTGGGTATGTTCCTTCCTCAGATGAAGTCCTTGAGTTAGAATTCACAGTTATGAACTTTCCATCCTTTGTGCTTGTGATATCTACACAGAAGTTGGAATCATTTTCCGTAAATATTGTGACATCATCCACGGAAATAGATCCCAGTTTGGTGCACATAACCCTGAAATTTTATACAGGGTAAATATATATTCTAGATTCCAAATGAAACACTTATGTGACTAGTAGAGAAATTGCCTGTACGGTCGTTGGTTTTTGTTGCTCAATGTATAGAATAAAGTATGGCTGTCTTGGGCCCATGCCAAACTGACAACCCCCTCAACTCCAGAATTAGGGAGGATAAGATCACTTTGTAAGTCCTTAATTTGAAGAAGAAATTGTTCGTCTCCAGTAGTATCAAGTGTATATGCAAGATAATTGTGATCTGGTGATATTCGGCATATACCCACATGAACATATCCTACAATGCAAACAGCTGAATCATTTTATTTTAAAAGGCCTATAATACAGAAATAATTTAAGCCCTCTCCCCTTCTATCTTGGTAAAGCAAATATCGATCTTAAGGAAGGGAATGAACAAGGGACATGCCCTAAGCTAAACGTTAATTTCCTTCTCCATCTATCCTTTTCTAAATCATTAAAAGAGCTTCTGGAATTATGTGGTCCATTGTATATCTACATGGCAATGTGTTAAGAAGGATCACATCACTATCTGAAAATTCTAAGACATAATCATCAAGAATTCCATTAAGGATCACGCTAAGTAATATTCACCAAGAAATTCAAACAGATAAATTAACTCAAGCTCTCACTCTACTTGTGTGTTATTATACCTATCATCATAATTAGCAATCTCAAGAATAATAAAAATGGGAATATTTTTTAATGGTTTTAGAGTACCAGTATTTAGAAATGGGTATAAAAACCAATATGATCAATTTGGATAGACATCTAAGAACATTTGACCACCTCCCTAAAAAAGAAGTAAACAATGTTGTGTTCAGTTCTATCATATGCAAGAAAATTCAAGATCCCTAGCCATGAAACAGAAAAATGCAACACAGAATATTTGCAATTATGAACCACTTCCAGCATACAAGTAATAATTTAACTAAATATGATGAAAAATGAGGTAATACATGCACCTGAAAAATTAATCTTTCTGCAGAAAGGATTAGCATATATAGTATGCACAAAGTTAAGATAGAAGAAATCTGACAAGTAGGAAGTGAGTAGTAAAATGAGAACTTGCCATATTGTTCTGCAATGTCATTCCAGTCAAGTAAAATTTGCTCCCTTCCAATTTCTTCTCTGAAAGAATTGACTATGGTGTTCACCCAACCTTTCCTTCCAGTAGATAATTTCCTACATAAAACAGGATATTCCTTCCCTTCTGGAATGTACTGGTAGTACAACCTATCAAATCCCATTACGTATAGATAACAATCAAAATGCAATAAAATGTTTTGTGTAGCTGCAATATGTAAACCTAAACTAAGTGATATGAGATATATGAATATTGCACATATGCTTTACCACCATTTAAGATCAAGAAGGAACATATAGGCTGACAACATGAAACACTACTGAAATTATGAATAATTGCTTTGAGAAAATCATATCCGATACAATGAAAAAGACGTATTGGCATGTCATTTAGTCATGCTGCAATAATAGGCCGAGCACTAACTATTCAAAATGCTTTACGAAGGTGGAAATAAATTAATTCCAATAACACAAGAATCCATGTGTCAATACATTTTTGAACTAAACAAATTTGAATTGAACACCATCGAGGGGAGACAGCCACTACAGAAAATCACTACAGCAATACATGTGTATACATTTAGATATGGCCCCTTTCTATTTCCAATTAACCTCCAATTACGATCACCTGCCCATCATTTTCCAGTAATCCCATTAACAAATGGGCAATGACTGGATAGGAAGCAACTGGAGAGAATTCTTGCATTGGACAGACATGCAAACAGGCAAATAGACATTTATGGATAGACATACATAAATAGTCAATAAGCAGAAACAGATTCTTGTTCAGAATATATGGATTTCTTCTAAATGATACCAAATTAGTACAACCCTTGATAAAAAAAGACACAGTTCACCAGTAAATTTCTACAATTTCATCAAGTTTGTAGCATATAAACCTGCTTGTTGACACACCCTCAAAACACAGGCGCAAACAATTAAAGTTCAGGGTAAGCTACGCGAAATACATATGCAACACTTATACTTAATTTAGTAGTAAAATTGCCCTGCTCACAATCATACTTTTAGAAAAGCATGGCATGCACAAATAGACACTAAAATTTCACTAACATAAACCATGTGCTAGTATTAAATTCACACATTTATAAATAATTGTATGAAAAGATAACTAAAGAAAAACTTCCTTCTTTCAGTATTTATAGCATTTTGGATATTCCGTTCATATTCATGATTCTTCATTAGAATATTAGTATCACCACACACTATGTAATTAGAGTATAGAAATCAAATTTTACATATCTAACACACATACATTCTATGATGTATACACATATTACTATAAAGATGAGAAAGCATGGCATTTGAATAAATTCACTAACCAGGGTCCCCAGCGTTCAGGTGGGGTGGAAATCTTGGAGGGCATTCTGGAAACCATTTCAGCATAAAGGGTACTCTGCAACCCTTGAGTATCTTGCATGAAGGCCTCAGCATAAGAGATTTCTTGTTGGAGATAGCTAATGAAATCTGGGTCATTTGTGTTGGACATCCAATGATAGGGGTCCTGCCACGTTATCCCGTGAGCTGTGGCCGTGAAAGGAACTTTTTTGGCGGCGGGTGGAGTCTGAATTGGTGGTGGAAAGTAATGGTATTTGTTTTTGCAGAAGGAAGAGAAAAAAACAACAGGGGATAACTGTTGGGGGAGTACAAGGGTCCTTCTTGAAAAGCGGAGGAGGGCTCCGAACGCCGCCATGGAGGAGGCGGAGTGCGGTGGTGTAAATGGTGGCGATCGATTTTAATAGCTGTGGAACTGCGGCATGATTGGGGGGTACTTTTTAAAATAGCTTGGTCAAACAACCAAATTTTCGTTTTGACCATTTTTTTTTTGTATTCACCACATTGGCCTATTGCCATTAAAAAGACAATTCTACCCTTATTCATGTTTAATAATTACAAAAGTATATCAATTGTTTAAAAGACAATAATACCTTTCGTTGGTCAAAGGCCAGTTTGAAAAATTGGCCGGGTCAACCGGCCAACAGCCACTAATTCCTCCATGATTGTGTAAGGCAAGGATATTTTGCTGGAGGTCTCACGACTTATAAGTTTCTTTCATATTAGTTACTCAATTTTGATTTGTTATAATTTAGTCACTCAACTTTTACTTTCTATTATAATTAAACAATTCTGCCGACTTAACTATGATGAGTTAATTAAATCACTAATCACAAATATTTACGGCCAGTTACTACTTGCTCTCTCAAAATTAATTGGTTACCGAATACTCACCCATTTTTTAAAACAATTACCCATTCTTTACCCGTTTCACTTTCATCCGTCCAATTAGGCAAAAAACTTCACGTGGCAACCGGAAATCTTACGTGCCACTAACACCATTAAAATTTGACAAGTGGCCACTAATTAAATTGCTTTCTTCCCCCCAAATATTGTGTTTGGCAAATGTTACAACAGAGTAGAAATTTCCTTATGTCATGAAAGCAAGTTTCTGGTGATCATAGATACTAATGCATTTGTAATTTCCAGCTGTACCAACCACAGTCGAAGTATGTTTGGCAAATTTGAATTAAAAAAATTCAGCCTTAACAGATGATTTCCTTAGCTCCCTGC